CACGATAGCTAAGTCTTGGAAGCAACCTAAGTGCCCATCAAGGGACGAATGGATAAAGAAGCTGTGGTATATATACACAATGGAATACTACTCAGCCATAAGAAACGACGAAATCCAGCCATTTGTGACAACATGGATGGACATTGAGGGTATAATGCAAAGTGAAATAAGTCAGAGGGAGAAGGTCAAATACCGTATGATTTCCTTCATTAAGTAGTAGATAATAACAACAATAAACAAACACATAGGGACAGAGATTGGATTGGTGGTTACCAGAGGGGGAGGGGGGAGGGAGGAGGGTGAAAGTGATAATTCGGTACATGTGTGTGGTGATGGGTTGTAATTAGTATTTTGGTGGTGAACATGATGTAGTCCATGCAGAAATAGAAGTACAATGATGTACACCTGAAATTTTTGCAATGTTATAAACCAATGTTACTGCAATAAACAAGGAAAGAATTATTAAAAAAAAAAAAAAGACTCTCTGAATAAAGCATATCAAGCGCAATACCTAAAACATCCCAACACAAACAATCACAATTAGACTTCTCTCATTTATTTCTCTCAGTCCTTCCTTAGTCACATGTAACTAATTCTTGTTCCATTTTTCTTGGATCAGCAGTCTACATCTTGAAGTCCTCTGCTTCTGGGCTGATATAGTCCTGGAAATTTTGAATCTCCCATCCTTTATACAATCCATTTCAGTGTGGCTCTAAGGCTAACATTCTTGGAACTTTCTTCCATTATACCCAATCATTGATCTGTGACAGGGACCCTTAAGTTCACGTGTCTGTGAGAGAGAGATATAAGACTGACAGGCTTGGGTTAATTTATTAGAGTGATTGAATACATCAGAATAGAAGCATGGATTCCCCTACTGGGTAAAATACATAAATATACGGGCCTAACCATGACTTTTTCTTAAAGACTTAGCTAATGTTTGTCAAAAGTAAATGTAAGAACATTTTACGGATTGTGATTGACAAGTTTTTAGGACTTTTAAAACCTTCGCATAAAGTGTAGACCACAATCATCACTAATAAACAAGGAATAATAACCTGGGAATGAAATCTTATATATCAGTTTGTAAAAAGTTATTGAGTCAGCCCGTGCACATGAATAAGAGCATGCTTCTGTATATCCTGAAAAAACAGTAACTGAAACATATTTATATCAATAATACTTTTGCTATACAAAATTAACCTGGGAGCTGATTTTCTCTTTTTCATTTGACAGTTTTTCTATAATGTGTGTCTGAAAAAAACAGTAGTTCTTGTAACACTGTGGCTCCAATTTCAAAATACAGAGCATAGTAAATACACTTAAGTCGATTTTTCTTCCCTCCTTTTATTAGGTGAGGGAATAAGCCTTTAGTATTATCTTCTAATCATCTGGAAACTGCCAAAGATAATTTGGATGTAAGAGACACCTTGACAGTTTTATTACTCTAAATTTAGGGTTGGATTTGAGGGAAGAAAATACCACAAGGGGCTATTAGGAGAAACTGGCTGCTCAATTAAAATTAGAACATAGGGACCGAAGAACAAGAAACAGTTTTATCCCGGGCTACATCATTAACCAGAGTGACAATACAGCATTTAAAATAAACATAGAAGAAAGAAGCACAACAATAAGTAAAAATTTTAGCTCTTCCTGAAGTGAGGAATGTATGAGTACGATAAGAGGCAGTATAAAAAGAGGATGCAAGCTAACTATTTTGAATTGAAAATATAAATACAGGTGAGGCGTATTAAATCTTTTTGTGATCTGAATAGAATATATGAATAATAAATAATAAGTCCATATGATTTCATTGTGAGGGTAGATTGTATATTCTAAGATCTAAGATTCTAAGATTGTATGTAACTAAGATTTCATTTTAGTTATTTAATCCTCTTCTTTCTGTTATTCCTAGGTTGCTCTTATTTAAGTTAATGTGCCATTATATGTATATATTTAAACATATGGACCCAGATACACACAAGTAAATACATATTATAGAAAGATTTAAACTTGAGCTTTAAAATATAATTAACCTTTCAGCATATTATAAGGTGATGCATATAAAATATTGATTTTACCACTTTAATTTGAACTTTATAAGAAGTAAATACTTTTATATGTAAGACTCTAAATAAAAATTATTGCATTGCTACTCAGTATGTTTCATGCTCTGTGTTTATGGATTCCAATTTTCTTAGGAATTTTTCAGGTATCCAAAAAAGATTCACTCATTATTTTCAAGGTCTCAAAGTCAATTAAAGAACTTAGAAATTCAATTCAGGTTGACATTAAAGAAAAATAAAATCATTGTTGGCATTAAAATTTTGGCTTTCTAAAATTACAGGGAAAACCTATATTATAATATAGTCCAAATGACTAAATGTCTGCCCACATATTTTGTAGCATTGATTGAAGTTGGCAAGAACCATCCTTTGGTAAAAACTTGGCTTACTACAAATCAGTTTCTCGTATTATCTTAAACATTTAATGGGAGTGATGGTAGCTTCTCTGAGCAGTGAAATCAGTATATAGGCAATCTCCGAAGTTCAAATTAATTAATCTTTTTAGGACATTATAATCCCAAACCATGCAAATGAAGGAGAAGACAAGTGGAAGGACTATCTGGGCTGTGAGTTCCATAAAGCAGAGACCTCCACATATTTTTTTATTATCACTACTGTAAGAATTTGTTGACACCTCCCATAGTTCGTATTTTTATAAAGTATATAATATACTACAGTACAAATAATTTATGATGAGCATTTAAAAATATTGATAAATAGAAGCTTATAAAATAAATCAAAATGAAAAAAAAATTTGAATTTTGAATATTTCCTTCCTACACCCCACTGGTTGTTCTTATATGTGCTCTGGAGTATACATAGCTCTCTATGGAGATCGTTTCTCTACTACCAATTTAGACATGCCACTCTGCTCCTGGAAGCCCTAAATGTTCTCTGTTAACCTCTATAATGTTGAACTTTAGGAGGTAATGGCAAACATTTCCCAAAACATTAGTTCCAATTTACACTCCAGCAGTGTATGAACCTTTTAGATGCTCTTCATCCTCACCAACACTTGGTATACTCAATTATTTCTTTTTTGCAATGTTTATTTTCTATATTCCACTGGTTTCTTTTTAAAACATTTTTAATACAAAGGAAAATTAAAATAATATCAGTAACCATTAAAGAGTAATCCTTAGAGTAGAACCTTTTTGTTCTGAACAGCAAAGCTTCTCAAGGTCTTACGATTGTAAAGAACAAAGTTTATCAATTCTCTGTTCTCAATGTTGCTATGTTTCAATGAACAATGTTTTGTAGTATTATGTCCTTGATGAACAGCAGAACTGATTCCACAATTTTGCAGAGATTCTCATGAACAGAAACTGTTTTTATAGAGTTGCAGTATTGAGAAGCTTTGGTTTTTGAAATTATATCAGAGTCCTAGAGAGAATGTGCTATTAGAAATCATGTCAGACACCACAAGACCAAAATAAGTAGACTTTAATCTGGGAGAAATCAAAATTCTTTGTATGTTAAAAAAAAGCCTCAGTGGGGCCGGCCCCATGGTGTAGCGGTTAAGTGCGTGCGCGCTCTGCTGCTGGCGGCCCAGGTTCGGATCCCGGGCGCGCACCGACGCACCGCTTGTCAGGCCATGCTGTGGCGGCGTCCCATATAAAGTGGAGGAAGATGGGCACGGATGTTAGCTCAGGGCCAGTCTTCCTCAGCAAAAAGAGGAGGATTGGCATGGATGTTAGCTCAGGGCTGATCTTCCTCACACACACACAAAAAAGCCTCAGGAAGAGCTGACCAGCATTTTCTCCCACTTCTGTGTTAGAGTTAACAAAATTTTCTTGCTTGCCCAGTAATGTATTTCTATCCATTTTTGCATCATTATATGTTTTGAAGTTAATGTGTATATAAAAGTTTACAAGTGTCAAATCTTGAAAACGATGAACAAATTGCAATAAAACAAATGGAATAGCAGATGAAACCAAAATGTCAGCTTTATTAAGAGGAGAAAGTGAATTGCCGGGTATTGCTCATTTTGAGAGTAAAATGGGACTCTCAAATGGAACTAACAAAATCCCGGATTTAAACAAACTATTGCTCAGCCTAGAGGCCTGTCTAGTCTAGAAGAAGCAGAGAGAGCCTTCAACTTGCACTACTTGAGCTTTCTTCACAGAGGAGTAAATATCAGGAGCAGGAAAGAACGTTGTGAATTGTCTGCTTGTGTCTTTTGCCCCGTTCCTTACTCTCTTGTTCATTTCTTTCTTACTGAAATATAAGAACTAGTTTAGGGATATTTTTGTTTGTCTAATCATAATGCATTGAAAAGCAGTTCTAAATTTGTGGTTGATTTTTGACTGTGGCTTACTATGATTTTACTATTGAAACATATATTTTTTCAATTTCAGTATAGTCAGATTTTGGTTGACGATTTTTCTTTAGAAATGACCCTAAGGAAGGAAGTGTTAGGAGACCTGAGTGAAAGCAGAGACATATTATGTCCCAGGCTCAGATTCAAAATTGTAAAGAATTAATTCTACCTAAAATAAAGTATTAATTCACTACAATCCCAATCAAGACACTTAGCATGCTTTTTTTGTGGAGCCTGACTATCAGGTCTTAAATTAAACAGAGATAAAGTATCATAGAAGGCCTGAAAAATATATGTAAGGAATATTTTAACTGCATCTTTATTACATGAAAAAGAAATTTGTTACCTCTTTTTCTTTTCTTTTTCTTTTGTTTTGAGGAAATCACCTACCATAGGGATTTGAATGGAAATTGAACAGACATATGTTGCCATTACACTTTAAAGTTCTTTAAAAGGAACATTTCCTTCCTTCAACAGTATTTCGGTTTAAGTTGGTGATTCTCCTCCCTCTACACGAGGGAAGGACCTCCTGCTTTCCCCATCACAGGGAGGGGGCGGAGTATTCTCTAAAAGCTTGGAAGCGAGCTGTGCCTGGCTAGTCTTGGGGGAGGAGCCGCATTACACACAGACTTGGAGGCTTCCGCTGAAGAGAAGAAGCTTGGAGGTAATGGCTGTCGTAAAAGCTAGTTATTTTCGGAGATTTCTGGAGACTTTGAAGTAAAGGTGAGAAAAGAAGGGACTGCCGCTTTGGAGTAGTGGGAAAGGAGTGTCGTTTTATGACAGTCGTTTCCATGAGGGAATTAATGTCTGGATTTTGTATACCTCCAGATATTTTAAAAGTCCACATTTTAAAAGTGGGGGATGTGGTGATCAGATTACACCTGCGGAAAAAATACTTCATGAGGTTGAAAAGCTAACTTTTGAATAGGGCATTTTATGTTTCAATCAAAAAGCAGTGGTAACAGAAATAAATGATGAAACAAAACTGGAGAAGTTAATCTTCTTTATTTTGAAAAATAATTGTGATAATTCCAAATGAAAAATGAAGTTGTTAGCTGGAGATATTGGATTTTTATACTACTTTGGTTGTGTTGATTGTATTTCTAACAAATCTTACTGTTTTGGTGGAGTTTGTGTAGTAATAATTTGAAGTATTCTATAACTGTGCAGATTTAAGTACTGAGAATTAGAAGTTTGGTTATTTGTCAGGGAATATTCAGTGTCTTAAAAGAATGGCTTTTTTATGGATGTGCAAAGGACGATCTTTGTCTACATCTCTACCTATCTATCAAAAGAATGATATATTCCTATTTGTGCTGTAATATGAAAAATATATGAAAGATCATAAACTAAAAAATAATAGACATATATTAATATAATAAAACACCGCAAACAATATATCTAGTAATAAAGAATGTCTAAATAATAAAGAGGACATTTTCCACTTCTTTCTTCCACATTTCACTTAGCATGTAGTACCTACGTCAGCATAAAAATAACTGAAAGGAGAATTTAAAAACATGAGGAAAAAACTACCTTCCCCAAAATGTGTAAACATATATAAACATGGAAAGATGTTCAAATATGTGGGTGAATAAATATAATTTCAAATAGTATATTCTAATATATATATGATGAAGGAAAAAAATCAAAGGGATTAAACTCAATTGTAAGCAGGGAACAACTCAGGGATTGGAGTACTGATGGTGAGTATTTTCTTCTTTAGATTTTATGTACCTTTATATTTTTTTGGAAACACATATTGGAGCTGAAAGGAACAATCTATTTGGTTATAAACTTTTAAATAGATACCCACACACACTCCACTGTCTTTAGCTGCAGGTGGATTTTTCTGTGGATTTGAGAAGGCTGGTTATCTGGTTGCTTGTGCTATTCTTGCAATTCAAATATTTAAGCTAAAGTCTGGACTTTGGTTCAAGCAGAAGGTATTTATTTGTATTTTTATGTACTCTTGAGAAAGAATTCAAAGAATGTTTAAAACATATTATGGAACAGTCACACAGGGTAGTGCATCCATAATGTTGAATACTATGCAGTTGTAAAAAGAATAGGCTAATACAGTTAGCTAAATGCAATGATAAGAAAAGATGTCCAAGGTATATTTTAAAAATAGGCAAAATGAAGAATGGTCTGTATCATATTTGTGACATATATGCAAGAAAAATCTGGACGTATACATGCTACTTTATTAGTTGGGCATATAAGTGTAGTTAGAGAGACAGAACATTTCAACCTTCTATATATTACATTTCTCCATTTTTAAAATCTTATTTTGAAAAGAGTAAGCTTCAATAATTTTCATTATGAGAAAATGATATAAAATTTTAGAAATATTGAAAAGTCTTGTAAAAGTAATTTACAAAAAGATGATGTAGAAAATATTTATTGATGAGGAAAGATGTTCAGATATATTATTGGGAGGGATAAAGGTCTCATTTCGTTTATAAAGATCTGTAGGAAAAATCTAGAAACATATAGAGCAAACCATTATATTTTAACCATTATTGTGGGATTTGCTTTCTTTGAAAAATCAAAAGATGAAGAAAGATATACAATATGCATGAGAGATAGTATAATAACAAAAACAAACTTTAAAATGAGGAATTATGATCCCATTTTTGTCTAAGGCAAGCGCACAACTCTTAAATTAAGGATGAAAAAATCTAGAAGCCTGAGAAGGCTACTAGTGTCTGGATGGCTGTAGTTCACACCCTGGCCACTAAGGACCTGGATGTCTGCAGTTCTGGTTCTAGTCACAAGATGGCGTTTGCCAGGTGTCCTAAATTTTCTCCAGGCACCATTTTTATGAAGTGGACAAACAAAGCAATGAAATTTAGTTTGTATTAGGAGATTACGAGACAGCATGTAGAATGTGATGGCAGTTCTGTTGAAAAATTACACATGTATAACAGAAAAAAAATCCACAGGATGACTGATGTGAGAATTCAAACAGAAAACTAAAAGAAGCTACACAGATTTGGCCTATAGAAGACACAGGGCAATTGTTATTTCCCTTCTTTCCTGTCCCCAAATCATACTTTTCACGAGAGGGATAGTTTTAGCTGAACTAAATAACATAACTGTATCACAGAAAGCATTTAGAATAATAATAACAAAAAGGAAAATAAACATGGCATCTACATCACAGATGAGATTTCATTTCGTTCCTGTGTTTCATAATGACGTGCCTGCTAACGTTTGGATGGGGAAGTTTCTTTACGCCTTTTCCATTAAATTGGTTTGATTCTTTATCTCCTTTTGGACAGCCTAGGTTAATATCAGAGATGCACATGACCTTGAGAATCTGCATGTGATACCAGTTGAGCCTCAGAAAGGCAGTGCGACCACAGAAGCGTCGAGCAGGGAGAAAGTTCTGCTGGACAAGCAGTTGGAGTGAGTGAGAATCAAAACAACTGGAACACAGGGCCAGACACTCCACAGTCCACGTGACACTGGGTAAGGCTCTTCCCATTTCGAGTTAAAAATATGTTGAGAACTTGGGGTATAATTCATTTTGCTTTCTACTCTGCAGTCATAGCATTTTAAATTAAAATCCACATTTCCTATTAAAATCATGTTAGGTTGAGAACTTGAGGTACAATTCATTTTGCTGCTTGTTCTGCAGCCATAAGGTTGTAATTAAAAGTCACAGTTTCTAGTTTGGGGGAAAAAAAACTCATATATTAAACCACTATGAAGAAATCGTGCAAGAGGCTATTCAGGTGTCTGCCTGAGGTTCCAGCCAGTGGCCGACTCTCCAATCCTTGACAGCTATGCTAGGTTGTCATCACCACTACTAGATAACATAGTTACAAAGATTTCTTAAGACCTGTTTAAGGTCTTACGACCTTCCTTACATAGATATCTGTATACTCTCTTGAATAATATTTTGTAGTAGTTTAACACATTTAAATCTTTCCCAACAACCATCACAAATCTCCGACTCCTAAAGTCATGGTCTTAATGACGTTGTTGGTGCTGAACCCTACTATCTGTGTCCATGAGATTTTTGGTTGCTTTGGACAGACAGGGCACTACTGGCAGCTTAAGAAACGTTCAAGCCCAGCACTCCTTCATGATAACCCAGTGAAGTCCAAAAGGCCCAAATTATCCAGGAACACAAATAACGTCCCTGACACCACCAAAGTCCCTCCCACACACATTCCCTTCCTATAGTATAATAGAAATGGTAAAGATAGGATATGGGGTTTGTGTTATCGTAATACTTCTCTGTTTTTGTTCCCCTCCCCCGAAATGTGTTCCATGTCTCTGAAGTCCTCTGTCTGATACTCACTGTTTATTCTTCTGATTTGTATCTTGTCTCCATTCTCATTGACAACAATCTTTCTGCTTAGTGAGGTAAACTTCTTATCTGATCCTTTTTCTTTTTTGCCATGTTTTAATCTAATCTAGTTGTCACTCATTGAAAACAGTTTATTCAAGATATTTTGTGAAGTTTCAGAAGGTAAGAAGAGGCAACAACAGGTGAGAACCATTTACTAGCCGTAACACGAGAGTTAAGGGTTCTTCAAAAACACTGCTTTTCTAAAAAACTAGGCAGTTAAAACCAGACCAGTGACCTAAGGATTTTTCCAGCGTATTGTATATCTATTGAATGATTTCTTGTCTATATTCAGATGCACTAGTTGTGCATATGCAAATTCAGTTTCTTGCTGGTTAAATTAGGACTTCTTTTCCCCCTTTTGCCATCTTTCCTGTCTCATCTGTCTCTTACTGAACATTTAGACGGATACTGACCTCTTTTTTATTCTTGTACCATTGAATATGGTTTAATATTTAGACCTCCTAGGTTAATATCAGAGTGACTCGTGGCTCTTGTCGTACGTGACTCATGCCTCTTTCTTAACTATACTATCTAGTATGGGGGGTTGACAACTTAGCATAGTTGTCAAGTATTTGAAAGTTTTCTCTCCACTGAGCTAATTAAGGTCTAAACTCACAACTCTCTGTCTGCCTGCCTGTTTGAACACTTCAAAAACATAACTCTGTCAAAATGCACCCAAGGCAAACTCTTAAAGGCTAGACATTGGGTTATGCAAACAGAAATCCATATCTCCTCACTAAAGAACCTTTGATGTTCTTTATTCAGATTGGTTACGGGAATAATTTTGACCCAGCCTGACCCTTCTGTTATGTGTCTCTGGAAGAATGATGGCTTCTTCTTTCTTTAGAGTTCGCAATGCAGACGGTTTTCTTTCTCTTCGTTTGTTAATTACAGGAAGAGCTATGTCATACTGCAGCTCTGTTTCTCTAACCTGAATAGTCAGAGGTGGCAGGAGACAGGAGTCATGTTTTCTCGTTCACTGTGATAATGGATAGCGTTGTGAGCACCTCACCAACTTTAGCTACATTTTATAAATTTTTGTTTTTAAACTTAGCATAACATTATCTTAAGAGAACTAACCCTGAGAATGACCCGTTGGCAGTGTGTAAGTTTTAACACTTCCTGGGAAACCACACTCTAAGTTAAAAGCAATAAAGATCTAAATTTAAATTTTAACTTCTTGGATATTTTGTGAACAAAAAAGCTCAATAAAAGAGGATAGAAAAATGATTTTCCCGTATCGAATTAGCAATTGCAAACAATAAAAGCGCAAGAACAAGGAGGTGCCAATTGTAAATGAAGATGGAATGAAATAGGCATTTCTCTACATAACAAATGATTTTCAGCTCTGTCCAGGAATAGCCGTAACTGAAAGGGAAGGTACTGCTGAGCCCTGCAACACAAAAGAGACATGTCATAACTACTATGACACGAATGCTATCGTGCAGATATGGTCAGTGCAAAAGCATAGTGTGGAAAAATATTTTTTAATTTCTGTGGGAATGTGGAATTATGTAAAAGGTGGAGAGTTCATAGGTAAGTATGGTAGTTAATGAAGATGGTTGTAGTTCACCAATGTGTTCACCAGCAGCGACATGAGATTAAGCAACACTGGCTCTGAGGTTACATTCACCAATTCCCTCACAGTCTGAAGGTGAGTGACAGCTACGTTGATTCTACCTAAAAGACAGGATTCTAAGCCCAGGAGGCAGTGAGTACTGGTGGAGAGAGAACACATCCTTCTGTTTTGGAGTCAAACAGACTTGGGCTTTGATTTTGTCTTGCCCTCTTCTCAGCTTGGTGACCTCGCACATGAGCAGGAGTGCCCATTTCCTCTCTCCCTTGCCAACTGTCCATTGTATCATTTCTCTGTAAGTCAAATTAGGTAGAAAAATTAAATATCATTTCTGTTTATGTTTGCATCTCTGATTTTTAGGTAAGGTGAGTATCTTTTATGTATTGTTCAGTTTTAATTTTTATTTGGAACGTTTGGATTTTGAGGAGCCTCAATGAATAACACCTCCCTTTCTCTACTGAACAAATTGAAGAAATTGATATAAAACAAATGAAGTTGCAAATGGAAGCCAAAATGTCAGCTTTTGTACAAAGGGAAGGTAAGTTGCAGAGCATTGATTATTGTGAGTCAAGTGGGCCTTACAACACCAAATCTGAACAAATCTACCAAACAACCTAGAGGCTTGCAGCTGTACAAGAAGGACAGAGATACCTTAGTTGCACTACATGAGCTTGCTCACAGGGAAGTAAATATCGGTAGCAGGGAAGAATTATTCCCTCCGAACATTGTGAATTGCCTATTTATGTCCTTTGAGCATTTTTTTTTACTTTGCTGTTTATTTCTTATTAATTTGTAAGATTTACTTTAGATTAGAGATATTTTTTAGTTGAAAACAGATTTGTCAAGCTTGTTCTTCCGTTTTCAACTTTGGTTTATTGAGTTTTTACCACAGTTTTCTTTCTTTTTTTTCAATTTCAGTATATCCAGATACATATCTTCTTTCTTTAAGGATTTTAGTTGACGTTTTATGTTTGGAAATGACTTTATTGAAAAAACTATGAAACGTTCTGAAGGATGAATGAGACAACCTGAGGAAAAAGAGAGACATACCATCTCCCAGGGCCAGAAGAATTAAAATGATAGAGATTTAATTCTCCACAAAATAATGTATTAATTCACTACAATTACAAACAAAGATCTAGCAGGTCTTTTTAATGGACCTTGACCAGCTGGGTCTTAAAATCTTTTGTAGAAATAATGTGCCAGAAAGAACAAAAAACAAAATATAAAAGAGAGATTTTTAACTGGGTTTTTATTATATGATAAAAGGATTTGCTACTTCTTTGTAGGTAATCACCTACCTCTGTGGTTTGAATGGAAATTAAAGAGACACATGTTGCCATTTTGCTTTCAAGTCTGTCAAAAATGGACGTTTTTCCCCTTTAAGTGAATTAGAGTTAACTTGGCGATTCTCCTCCCTCTAATTGAGGGAAAGGCCCCCTGCTTTCCCCATCACAGGGAGAGGGCGGAGCATTCTCTGAGAAGCTTGGATGTGAGCTGTGCCTGGCCGGTCTTGGGGGAGGGGCTGCATTTCACGAGGCTGCAGCTGACAAGAAGCTTCAAGGTAATGGCTGTCTTAAAGCTAGTTATTTTCTGGAAATTTCTTCAGGCTTTGGTGTTACGGTGGAAAAAAAATAGAGTTTGTTACCTGGGAGAGGTGTAAATGGAATATGGTTTTGGGAAAATTGCTGTTTTTGTGACAGAATCAATGCCCTGAAAATTTAGTTTCTCCCGATATTTTTTGAAGTCCACAGTGTGGGAATGGGTGATCAGATTACAGCTTCTAAATTAAGACTTCAGTGAGGCTGCCGTTCATGTAAATTTTTTACATGGCATTCAGTGTTTCTATCTTTGTTACAGATTTTATTATATTTTGATTTAAACGCATTATTCTACACAAAAAATAACTGATAGAAAAATGTAAACATAAAAAGTGATTGAACATACAAACACAAATATAAATGTACACGAACATGGAAGGGATTCAGATATGCTGTTGAGTCATAACGTTTGTAAAAAATAAATGCATTTTCCTTAAAGAGGGAAATAGATTCCCATGTTAACAGTCAGCATCTCTGGAGTGTTCAGATTACTGGGGATTTCAAAACATATTTTTAACCGGTTTCAGCATTTTTAGAATGCTTTATTCCATGATCACTTTTTATAATTAGAAGAGTAAAATGAAGCTGAAACAGTGTACCCATTTGATTTCAGACATGTAAACATTCATAGACACACACAGACATACAAACATACCCCCCTTGTCTTTTGCTGATAGTGGAAATTTTCCTGGACCTGATCAAGCGCATAGCCTGGTTGCTGTGTTGGCTACAGCCCTGCGTGTGTCTTCCTTGCAACTCATTCTTTCAGACCACAGGTATGGCCATGGTCAGCAAGAACCATTTCTTTATATCTTAAGTTTAAGAGTGAGACGGGGAGAGGATTTGGTTTATTTCTGTTAGCAGTTTTTAAAATATTACATGGCATGGTGCATCCATACAATTGAATGTTATATAGCTGACAAATGGAAGTATGAACGTGTATCTATTTGAAAAGATATCTGAGAAGTACTATTAGGCGAAAAACGCAAATTGCAGAATGGCAAGCACCATATTATGTCATTTAAAGGTAAAGAACTGTGTTAATACAATATGTGTAACAAAATCAGAAAAAATATAAGGCTACCTACTAATGGGATTATTTGTGTGGTTGGAGAGACAGGACAGTCTTTATTATCTCTATTGAAAAATAATTCTTAGTACGTATTTAGTCATTTTTTTAACAATATCAGAAAAAAGTTTGCGATAAAATGTTAGAAATTGGGGGGGAATTACATTTGAAGTGATTCATAAAAAATCACATTGAAATTACTTATTGATATGAAAAAACTTTCAAACCATGCACTTAAGCGTGGTAAAAGGCTGGTCTGAAATTATATCATTCACGGATATATGTAAAGAAAACATTTGGAAAGACAGTCAGGAAACAATAATATTACTTTTCCAGAATTATACTTTCTTTTTATAAATCTTACCTTTTCAATTTTCAGTAAGCATGCAATTATTTTTAATCAGACAATTGGAAGTAAAGACATTAACATTTCATTTTTTGTGTAATGCATAACAAAACTCTAAATTTGAGCATGGTATATTCTAAAAGCCTGAGAAAACTGCTGGCTTGGCAGGATGTAGTTCCCACCCTTCTCCCATAAGAAGGATCTAGTAGCAAGTAACGGGATGCAGTTCTGGTACTGGTCACAAGATGGCGCATGCCAGATTTTCCAGATTTTCTCCAGGCAACTATTTTTATGAAGTGAACAAACAAAGCCAAGAAACATATTTTGTATTAGCAAACTATGAGACAGCATGTAGAGTGTGATTGCAGTTCCATTGAAAAAACTGTACGTGTCTAGAAGCAAAAGCCCCACATGAGAACTCAAACAGAAAGCATTAAAAAAAGTAGTTACATAGAATTTGGCCTATGGAAGACACAAGACGATTGTTATTTCCCTCTCTCCTGTCCCCACCTCACACTTTTCCTGAGAGAGATGATTTCAGCATGAACCAAATAATAACTGTGTCACAGAGAACACTTCAAATAATAAGAACAAAAAGGAAAATAAACATGGCATCTACATCACAGATGAGATTTCATCTAGTTCCTGTGTTTCATAATGGATGCCTGCTAACGTTTTGGTGGGGAAGTTTCTTTACACCTTTTCCATTTAGTTGGTTTGATTTCCTGTTTCCTTTTGAACAGCTTAAGTTAATATCAGAGATGCACATGACCTTGAGAATCTGCATGTGATGCCAGTTGAGCCTCAGAAAGGCAGTGCGACCACAGAAGCGTTGAGCAGGGAGAAGGCTCTGCTGGACAAGCAGTTGGAGTGAGAATCAAAACAACTGGAACACAGGGCCAGACACTCCATGATCTGTGTAACATTGGGTAAGGCTCTTCCCATTTCATGTTAAAACATGGTTGAGAATATGGAGTACATCTCATTTTGAAGCCAGCTCAGTAGCCATAACATTTTAAATTAAAAACCCCAGAATCCAGTGTTAGGAAAGAATTAAATATGTTAAATTCCTATAAAGAAATTATACAAATGGGTATAACGATGTCTAATTATGGAAGACTTGAAGGACCCAGCCAATTGCCTGACTCTTAAGAAATCCTTGAAAACTACCCTATTCAATAGGTAGCCATGACAGCCATTCCAAATATCTGACTTCTAAGCTTATCCTCTTAATGAGGTCGTTGTGTTGTTGTCTGAGTCGAGGAGACACAAACTCCAGTATCTGTGTCTGGCTGCCTTGGGTAGATAGGGCAGCACTGGCAACTTTAAAAAGTTAAAAGATTACCCTAGAATAAACCTTGAGAGGCCTCAAAGTATCGAAATATCAAATAACAGAAATGGTGTCCGTGATGCACTCCCCAGCAACCCCCCAATCTCCTACTATACACACACTCATTCATTCCTCATATGCACTAGCTATAATAAGGCCTACATACTGGGGCATTATAGAACTACTTTTCTTTTATTGAATTTTTAAATATTTCCCCAACTACAATGTGTTTCTTTGGTGCCCAGTATTTATTCATCTTTTGTATGTCTTCTCCATTTTCATTGTCCATTTTCCTTCTCTTTTGGCAGAAGAAATCCCTTTGCTTATTCTCTTTTCTCTTTGCCTTTTCTTTAAGTGAGTATCCTCTAGTATTGCCAATTCAAAATTATTTATTCCAGCTTTCTTGCAAGTTTTCAGGAGGATATGTGTAAACACAGAAAGAGAAAACTATTTGGTAGCCCTAAGGCATTAGAGACCTCTAAAATCACTGTTTTTGTGGTTAACCAGGCAGTCAAACAGAGACCAACGACCTAAAGATTTTTCTAGATGATTCAGAGTTCACTCATTGATTTCTACACTATGTCCAGAGGTACCATTCAAATCACATGCACATTCAGATCTTCAGTGGTTCATTTTGAACTTCCTTTCTTTTTTTCCCTTTGCTTCTTTTTTTTTTTTAATTTTTTTGTTTATTGCAGTAACATTGGTTTATAACATTGTAAAAATTTCAGGTGTACATCATTATATTTCTATTTCTGCATAGATTACATCATGTTCACCACCAAAATACTAATTACAACCCATCACCACACACATGTACCCAATTATCCCTTTCACCCTCCTCCCTCCCCCCTTCCCCTCTGGTAACCACCAATCCAATCTCTGTCTCTATGTGTTTTTTTTGGTGTTGTTATTATCTACTACTTAATGAATGAGATCATATGGTATTTGACCTTCTCCCTCTGACTTATTTCACTTTGCATAATACCCTCAATGTCCATCCACGTTGTCACAAATGACTGGATTATACTCTGGTTTCTCTTCAAATCGTATAAATCTTTCGCCTTTCCCTTTGCTTATGTTCATATCTACTTCCTGCTACACACTTAGACTGTTACTGAACTTTTAAAAATTATTTTAACCTTATGATATATTTTGATATCTAGTAGTACCAGTTGTCCCTCAGTCAGCTAGTAAAGTTAGAAGTTGGTCCTAAACCCATATATCTGTCTATTTGAGAACTTCTAACACATAACAACCTTGCCATAACGCTTGTCTGAGAAACTCTGAAGTTTAGACATTGTATCTTTTGACAGTCTCTCATATCTCCTCACTAAAGAATTGATAAGTACCTTTATTCAGAGTGGTGACAGGAATAATTTTGTTTCAGCCTGGATCTTTTCCTATAAGTGTCTCAGAGAATGGTGACGGGGAGCCAGGCGGGGGAGACAAGAAAGGGATTCCTTTTTTCTTTAAATTCACCAAGGAAGGTCCCATAGAGGTCTTTCTATTTGCTTGTTAATCTCGGAAAGAACACTACAGTTTAGTCTCTCTACTTCAATGCTCAGAGTGTAGTAAAGCTTTGTTTGCTATGTGCTGTGATGATGATGTTGTGAGGTCCTTATCAACCTTTCTTCAACATCTTTTAATATGTTTCCCATTCTATCATCCTGAATCTTGATTTCCTAGCAGCTTCATCCATTGGCACTGTGTAGGTTTTAGCATTACCTGGAGAATACAAAATCTCCAAACATGGCAGGTTTATCTTCTTGTGACCTCTAGGTCACTGGTTGGTATTTTTTCTTTTTTGCCTCTCGATGTGTTCACGTACATTTGACCAGAGATTATGATGTCCCTTTGGCCCTGGCAGTGATTCGCTATCTGGCTTGCCTTTTTCTTACCTGGGATGTTCATCCTTAGTAAGCTTTCTTCTGATGTTCTTCCTCTTCAGATGGACTGAAATTAAGCCAGTGAACATTAATAATAAGATTTTAACTTTGTTTACATCCAGTTTCAGGTATTTGTTTGTGCCTATGCCTTAGGGGTCATTGAATATTTTGAATATCCATTAAGTATCTAAGATTCCTTGCTTTACTAATGCTCATGGCCCCCGCATGATTTTTGGGAGTGTTCTAACTGAACCATTTCCGCTCTTTTATATGGACTTTATACACTAAAAATATTGGTATTTGTTGAGGCCGGCCCCATGGCGTAGTGGTTAACTCCAGCTTGCTCTGCTTCAGCGTCCCAGGTTCATGGGTTTGGATCCCGGGTGCGGACCTGCACCACTCATCAGTCACGCTGTGGTGGCAATCCACATAGAAAATAGAGGAAGGTTGGCGCAGATGTTAGCTCAGGGCTAATCTTCCTCAAGCAAAAAACGAGGAAGATTGGCAACAGATGTTAGCTCAGGGTGAATCTTCCTCAGCAAAAAAATAAAATAAATAAAAAAATAAAATAGATTTAAAAAAAAAGAAAAAAATATCGATTTTTTTAATTCTATAATCACTACATCTCTTGTATGTTATTTGCCTTCTGCTCTCTTACTGAGAACATATTCTTAACCAGGTCTCCAGCTCCAGATTATAGCACTTTGGCTTATACACCTTCCTTTCCTTCTGCTCACATGGTTGAGTGGCATGTGAGAACTTCAGTGTAGTTAAAGGCTCTGCCAATGAGGATAAATTTCGCAAACTATAGGGTGCTAAAGTCATCTGGATTCTTGACATTTGTCCTGCATTAACTAACTTTCAATTAAAGAGATAGTTAATGAAGATATAAATTTATAGAAAGAGTTATATAACTACATCAAAAGTTAGGGGTCTTAGGTGCCCCCCCAACATTTTAAAGCAAATTCAGAAATAGAAGTTAATAAAAATTGATTAAAGAGATTAGAACAAATTGAATTTCTAATATATTCTTTGTACACTCCAGATGATATTTTTACACATACCTTGTGGTATCCACAGCTTTCTTTGGCAATTATCCATCTAAAGTTACAAATCAAAATTCCTATATGTATCCCCATTACTCTCACAGTAAAACACAAACTTCTTATATAGATAATATTCTGATTTTGGATGCCTTTTTAAGACTCAAGTTTATTGGGATATAATTTTCAGAGTTAAAGTCACTCTTTTAGGTGTATAGTTTGATGAGTTTTGACAAAGATATGCTGTCATGTAATGACCAATATAGTCAAGCTAAAGAATGTTTCCATAATTTCAAAGTTCCCTCCTGCCCCATCATAGTCAATATTCTCTCTCTACCCTGATTCCTGACAATCCTGATCTAATTTTTGTCCCTATAGTTTTTCATTTTCTAGAATGTCATATAAACGGATGCCTTTTGCGTCTGGCTTCTTTCATTAGCATAATGTTTCTGATACTTACCCGTGTTGTCACATGTATCAGTAGTTTATTCCTTATTATAGCTTAGAGGTATTCTATTATTCTACAATTTGTGTATCTACTCACCAGATTTATAGTTTTTGGTCATTATGACTAAAATTGTTGTAAACATTCCAGAACAGGTCTTTGTCTGTACATTAGTTTTCATTTCTCTTGGGTAAATACCTAGAAGTGGAATTTCTGGATTAATGGTAAGTGTGTGTCTAACTATTATATATTAGAAACTGCCAAACTGTTTTCTAAAGTAGCTGTGATATTTTATGTGTCCACCAGCAATGTATGAGTTCCAGTAGCTCTGCATCTTTGTCAGTAGTTGATACTGTCGGGTTTTTTTCTCTTTTTAATATTAGCCATTCTTATAAAAGTGTTGCTGGTATCTCATTGTAGTTTTACTTGTGTATCCTTAATTACTAATAGTGTTGAGCATCTTTTTAATGTGCTCATTTTACATTTATATCTCTTCTTTTATGAAGGTCTATTTAAATTCTTTGTCCATTTTTTTAATTGGGTTGTTATTCTTATTATTGAATTGTAAGAGTTCTTTATATATTCGGGATAAAAGTTCTTTATCACATATGTGTTTTGCAAATATATTTTCTCACTTTGTGGATTTTCATTTTATTTTTTGAAGAGCAGAAGTTTTCAAGTCCAATTTTTCAAATTTTTTATGGTCCGTGTTTTTTGTGTCCTAATAAATCTTTGCCTGACTGAAGGTCTCAAAGATTTTCCACCAGAAGTTTTATAATATTTACTTTTACATTTAGGTCAGTAATTTATTTTGAGTTAATTTTTGTATTGGCTTTAACTAAGGGGTCAAGATGAATATTTTTGAATATGATTTTCAATTTTTCCAGCACTATTTGTTGAAAAGACCATCATTTCTTCATTTAATTGCCATTGTCAAAAATCTATTGACCATATTTGCTGGTCTATTTGTATTCTATTTATCTATATGTCTATCTTATGCCAATAATACACTGTCTTGATTACTGTAGTCTTAAAATCAGGTAACGTGAGTCTTCCAACTTTGTATTTCCTCCTCAAAATTAGTCTGGCTATTCTAGTTCTTTTGCTTTTTCATATACATTTTAGAGATATCATCTCAATTTCTGCAAAAAGCCTGCTGAGGTTTTTATTGAGATTGTAATGATTCTATAGATATATTTCGGGAGAAGTTACATCCTAAAAA